GGAGCTTTTTGAGATTAAATAGAAGAAAATACAAAACATTAAACATGTTAACAACACAAAAGCCATATTAAACGCAGACTACTTTAGGCCCGGAAGTAGGATTCGTCACGTCATCACTTAACGACCGGATTAGCTGACCACTCGCACTACAGTCTTTTATAAAGGCTCCGCTGATTTTATTGTCATGCTTTCCTAAAACATTATCTTTCATTATATTTCACTTAGATTTTTTTCACAGTCATAGAAAATGTGTGAAAGCTATTGCACCATCTGAAACAGCAACAGGCTGTCAGTTTAGTCATTATAAAGGAGTGAAAACAGCGCTATTCAACGTAAGAAATTCCCATTGAAACAAGCTAATCAGACGTTACAGTCATGCAAACGTCATCGACTATAAAGGTCAAAAATTGATTGAGCGCCTAACAATGTCTAACATTATCTGATTTTACATATATGATACAATCTTTCAAATGATTCATATGTGGATCCAAGATATTACAAACCATTTTTAAAAATATATTTTATAATGAAAAGAAGGACAAATCAAATTTTAACACGTTTTTCATACTTACAATTGCTACTCAAACATCAAGAATAATAAAGATAAACATCTTTATTAGACACAAAAGCCAATAAACTGTTTAAGAAAAATGAATATGAAAACCTTTCCAGCAGCAAGCTGCTCCCTTTATTCGTACTTTCATGGCTTACCTTTGGTCAGCTGCGTCTTTACTAAACCAACCGCTCTCCAATGGGATCACCTTGTGGTCAAACACCAGCAGTGCAACAGAGAGTCTCACTAGTAAACGTGAGCAAAGCTAACAGTTCTTATCTTCCAACAGAAGAGACTGATGAACCTTTAAAATGATGGAAATCTTTTTCCCCGTCGCTGCTGTTCCGTCTAAATGTGACGCTTTAAGAAAAGAAAAGGTGAAAGGAGCTGGTGAATAGCGCCCTCTAGGAGCCGCATAGCGCTGACCATGGTGCTGACAGGCCTCTGCTCTCCATCCACTATTCTCATTCTTGCACCCTGATTGGTCGCTTGCTTCAAGAGCAGATCTTGTATTCCACTGACTATTAAAGGCTTGTAAATAAAAATAAAAATAATTATAATAAAAGATTACAATAAAATATTAAATTGCATACAAAAAGGATTTATGAGTAAAAACGATACTTTAACAGAAAAAAGGTTAATAAAGCTCCTAAAATATCCATAATATTGCAAACAGTAACTGTTATTTTATTATCAGCATGCAGCAGCACTGGTTTGTGACAGATCACGATTAATCTCATTACCATGCCAAAAAGGCTGGAACACTGCACTGACTATTTCTGCCCGTTAGAGAAACAAATGTTGGTGTGATCCGTGTGAAAATGAAGAGACGACAGCTATTTCACTAAAATACCTATGGGCGCAAATATTTATAGTAAATAACTTAAAGTAGACATGAAATAGGATGCTCTCGTCTTAAGCCCAAGATTCGGGTGGGCTTTCCAAAGAGTGCAGAAAATGAGTGATGTGAAAGGGTGCTTTCATGTGTTTGCATTATTAGGAAGAAGACAAGAAAAGCAGCAGAGCGCGCACTCCGGTGGAATGGCTTTTTGTCTGCTGTTTCAATCATAAAACCCTCAGTTATTTATTCAGTACTGGATACTGGCAATATCCCACGCTCTTGCATCATTTGCTTTTGGTATAAAGTACCCCCTTTTGTGCGCATGTTCCACTTGGCTTTTTGTGTCGTCGCTCACTCTCCATTGGCTCGCCCTGCCGCTTCTGCGCTCAGAGTTGAACGCCGGACCAGCCTTCACAGAAACGTGTGTCCTACCCACGCTGTCTGAAACCGGACTGGGCTTTCCACGCCGCATCGGAGATAATAGAAAAAAATAAAAATGGAGAAAAAGAGCGAGATAAACGGACACGCCATGCCCGGCTCAGCATCCACAGACCAGATCTTGGAGAAGGGCTCGCAGAAGAGCCTCGGAGAAAAGCTGATGGAGTTTCTGAGAAAGAACCTGCTGGTGATCTTGACGGTGTCGGGCGTGCTGGTGGGCGTCGGGCTCGGGATGATGGTCCGCAGCATGAACCTGACCAAAGCGCAGATGACCTACTTCGCCTTCCCCGGTGAGATGCTCCTCCGGATGCTGAAGATGATCATTTTGCCCCTCGTCGTCTGCAGTCTCGTATCGGGGGCCGCCAGCCTGGACACTCGCTCCCTGGGCAAGCTGGGGGGCATCGCAGTCGCCTACTTTCTGGTGACCACGCTGATCGCCTCAGGGATCGGGGTAGCCCTGGCTTTCATCATCAAACCCGGAGTGGGCGCGGGAGCCCTGAACACCAACAACCTGGGACTGGAGAGCGTCAGCAACAACAAGGAGACCACCGACTCCTTCTTAGATCTGGCCAGGTAAAGAGCCCCCTTTAATCGCCTTAAACAGCGCACACGGTAGCATGTTAGAGGGTAGTGGGGCAAGAAGGGGATTTGTGTGCTGTACTGTAGTGAATCTGACGGGAACTGTGGCACAGCGTGCCTCGGGGCGGTTTGGGAATGCTGGTTAGTTACACACACGAATGGCTCCACGCTCGCAGTCATCCTAGGCATGCGTGCGCACACGCTCAGTAAGGCTACGGCTGCTGTAGTAAGCCTCACATGTGCGCCACTGAAACAACCAAGTCCTCTCTGCCACTGTAGCAGACTT